AGCAAGGAAAGTAATTTTAATTGTCCATTCAAGTTAAAGAAAATTTAGGCACACACCCCCACCCACCAAGCAACCAGAAAACAAACACCTGAATTCTAACAATTCCTCAAAAGGCAGTCTATGAGTTTACCATATGGAAGACAAAATACAGCCGGTCCAAAATAGCAGAAATACCAAATGCACTGAAGATCATGATAAAGGGAACAGTAAAATAAAAGATGGAAAACTTCCCCCACTCCTTCCACTTCTCAAGACTTGAATGTTCTTAGCAAGGACCCTCCCTCTGCTCCCAGCCCCAGATCTTCCTTCCATATGTGTAAAAGGCAACATCTGGCTAATATAAGCAACTTTTAAAATATAAGGGAAGTCAGATTTGACAAATCATTTGCTGAAAATAACTGCTCTCCTGTTATTATTGAAATCAGGTTATGGTCATTTCAGGGATAGTTGATGTTGAGACCAGAGCCCCCAATGCACTTGGGGATAGTAATACTGGCTTCCCTGTACCTGACAGCTAAAACATATCAATAGAGAGCATTAAGTGTTGCAATTTTTCATTCGTTCTTCTTTTCTTTTGATCTGAAAGACACTGATTAACATTAATGGGGATTAAAGAAAGACATCTTCAGCCAAAAGCATTATCTTATGAGCCTGTGCACATGCCTGTAGAGAAATTGTCCTGCTCCCAGCATGGGCATAAACTTGAGGTTCCAAACAGGGCTCTCAGAAATTTAGTTTCTATTACTTCAAACTGGCCAGAATTACTACAAGCACTTGTCTCTCATAGGGCATCTGAGCCATGTCCTTAGCTGTGAATATCTGTATAGATGAGGGAATACATTGTCCCTCTCACCACTTTGGACCAGGAAGCTGAAGGAGCGCCTTTAAACTCCTCTGAGTATTCACATTGACATTATTTGTTTATTTGCAAGAGCCCACTGAATTAAGAAAGGCACTCGATATCTTAGGAAAAATTAGGACTTCTTGTTCTGTACGATCAAGTTCCCTCCACTTATAAATCTTATGAATGAAAACCCTCCAAAATCTCCATTCAGCTGCTCTAAATTCAAGGATTTATGAAGCCAATCCATCTCTTATTTGTTCCTCCTTTTCTTCTTTCTTTGAGTCTCCCTACCATTATTGTCTTCTCTAGGAAGACCTGCCTTCTTGAACCCAAAGTATGATAGCCTCAGCTTTGTTATTTTTGCTTCTAAGGAAATCTCTGACTTGGACAGAGGGTGGGGGGTTTTCACTGCTCTACCCAAGTTACCACACTGTGTTTTCTGAAACCCACAGTGGGTTTGGTCACCTGGGTTCAGGTGCCTTGGCATCCCATTGTGGATTCACCATTCTCTGCAACAAGACATGCTTTCTCAGAGCGGCCATTGCCCTCAAAATATTTTCTTGAAAGCTCTCTGTGTTTGCATGACACCACAAAAACAGTAAAAAAATGTAACACAGAAGAGCAAAAGTGGAATTAAAGCTGATGTCTCATACAGTAAAAACACTCAAAATGTGGTTCTGTTCTGTTTCATTTTGCTCAGGTATTTTAACTGTATTGCTAATAGTGATGAATTACAAGTGCAGCTGATGAGAGATTCCTTGGGGGGGGGGAACAAAAGAGAGTTCATTTTATTTCTCATAGACTGAAAATTTGGAGGGGCAGCCCCCCATACTAGGCCATGCAGCATGAAAAAATGCAATAACTTTCCAACTTTTCTATAATGCAAATGAGCTTGCCATTGCTTTTCAACCCCTTTCCATAAGCCAAAGCAGCAAATTGCTTCATGGCAGATACATACCATACTCTTCACTCAGACATTTGGCTTAACTCAGTGAAGATGTTGTAAACTCATGAGAATTGTGCACCCCACGGACATGTAGAAATGAGACATGGAAAAATTCTCCACAGCTTCTTTTTCCCCAGCATGATTATTAGAGAGAGGCTGCTTTTCTGAGAATCCCTCAAGAGGTAAAACTGGATGAGAAAAAGATAGCTGAGATGGCCTTCATTTCTCAGGCACCAAACAAGTCAGAGCATGATGGCAAACCAATCAAGAGTGACCGAATTCCTGCTTAATGGATTCCCAGACATTCAGGAGCTGAAGATATTTCACATCATGGTTTTTCTAATACTCTACTTGGTGGCCTTCACAGAGAACTTGATCATCATCACAGTCATCATTTGTAGCCATCAGCTCCATACACCCATGTACTTCTTCCTGTCCAACCTCTCATTCCAAGACTTCAGCTCCATATCTGTCACTGTTCCCAAGCTTGTAACTAACTCCTTGATGGACACCCAAGTCATCTCTTACTCTGGATGTGTCTGCCAAGTCTTCTTCCTTGTTTTCTTCATGTGCTCCCACTTTTTCCTCCTTGGTGTCATGGCATACGATCGCTACGTTGCCATCTGCAATCCATTTCATTATCAAGTTGTGGTCAATAGGAAATTCTGCATCCAACTGGCAACCAGTGCATGGATTGGTGGTCTTTTCTATGCAACACTATATACTGGAAACACATTCACGGTGAGGTTCTGTACTGATACAGTCAACCAGTTCTTTTGTGAAATTCCACAACTCCTCAAGATCTCTTGCTCAGACCCATATTTTCCTGAAGTAGGAGTGATGACATTTGGTGCTTGTTTAGGTTTCTTTTATTTTCTGCTTATTCCTTTTTCTTATATTCAGATCTTCAGGGCTGTTCTAAGAATCCCATCTACACAAGGGAGGCAGAAAGCATTTTCAACTTGCTTGCCACATCTTGTTGTCATCTCCTTGTTTGTTGTGAGTAGTACTTTTGTGTATTTGAAGCCAACCTCCACTTCTGCATCAGTGTTAGATCTCCTGGTGTCCATACTGTACTGCATTGTGCCACCGGTGATGAACCCAGTGATTTATACCATGAGGAACAAAGAACTCAAAAGAGCATTTTGTAAGCTGATTGTCAACGTTTTGCCTAAAGTTTTTCACAAGACATTAACTGTGCTAGTATTCTAGGAAACGAATGCATTTCTGTAGACATGTTTCAGTAAAGATTTTGTATACCTTTTCATACAATGTATTTTGTATATCAGGGAAAAGACCCTATATTGGTTTGTGACCCATAAGAATGGACACTAATTAATTTTACATAACTTGGAAGCAATAGTTTTGTTCAGGCCATTTTCCTCACTGAAACTGGAGAGGAATCACACAGGAGCAGTGGTGATGAACTTAAAAAAACAAACACACACACATTTACAGAATGCCCCAGTACATGAGGATTGCAGCATCACCTTCCCAACTTGTTACAGGACTTTGAGCTTGAGTACCATATGGCAAGGCAAAATGACCCCATCCACAGTGTTGGCTTATACAATATCAGAATAGAGTAGAAACATTATATATAATTTCCTCACTTGCTCTCAAACTAGGTATGTCCTGCCTTTCCATCACTGTTAGCTCCAGGAAGTCTACAGTTCAAGATGTCCAGCAATTTAAATGTATGGACAACATTAAGAAATTGATACTCAGAGTTCAACTCATCCAAAGTATAATGTGAATAAGAAACAAAGAAAATTAATGAGGCCAAGTATTTATAGAAAAAAACAGGATTTTAGCTGTTCCTGCAAAAGCAAGCAGTGAATTGACCACATGGATCTTCCTGGGCAAGACATTCCCAGTCTAGTTATCCCTGTTTCATGTGGACACTTGATAGATTTCAAAAATGAGGGCAGAAGGACCAAAATGGAACACAAGAATGCAGATTTTCTGTTCATCATTCTTTTATGTATACATCTGAAGAACTGCATTGCAAAATCCAGAGAGCTAGGGAAACTGAAGATCAGCTCTGCTTCTCATTCATGCAATGGTTTTGGAAGTGTCCAGTTCATTCTTCCATGTGCAGTCAGGGAAATTATCGTTCATCCATACTAAGCATTCCCTTTCTTGTTTCTAAAAGGAACAAGAAAAACCTCTCTGCCCCACCTATCAGTGTCATTGTTTCATGCATTATGAAATGACAATGCAAACTCAAAAAGAGTTTGGATTGTACAATTCAAATCCACAAAACTTTTGAATTTGCAGGCATACAGGCATCCTGTGAAGGGCAGGAAGAGCAAGGAAGTGAAGCTTTCCTCCTGCCACCTCGGCAGTCCCTCTCTGTGCTCTTCTGAACCCTGAAACACTTTTCCTGTGGTTGTTCTCATGACTTCAGGGATGCAGCCAGTGCTGTGCCAGCCACAGGATGGGTAGGATACTCGCAGCTTGGAATCTCATCTATGAGGTCACAGCACTTTTCTGACCTTTTAGCTGGATCTGCCAAAAAATCTATCTCCACCTTGACAGCATCTTGGTAGCTTCATCCATGACACACACAGCGGGGCTGAGAGAGAGAAAATTTTAAAAATTGCACAGTTCCCAATGTACAGGCTATGTAGAAAATAGAAGAATAAATGGTATGCATAATGACATTCAGTTTCCATCATACATGATGTGACCATTGTCCTCTTTAGACAGATTGACTTGAGTACTTCAGTGATGGATCCCAAGTAAAAGTATGGCAGATTGAAAAGGCAAAACGTTGCTTCCTCCAAAATTAGATTCCATCCACAATTTTCTAAATGGTTCTTTTCTAATCTAATTTGAAATTATTGTGATGGGAGAGGGATTGGGTGAATAAAAAACCCCTGAAATTCTTTGTAACAGCCTGTTGTTATCACAGGAGAGAGGGCTGCTGTAATAAGAAAGCCATTCTTGGCTTCCTCTTTAAATGGCCAGTAGAAGGAGGACATATTTTATTTATTTATTTATTTATTTATTTATTTATTTATTTATTTATTTATTTAGGAAGCTTCTATGCCACCCCATTCACCGAAGTCTTGGGGCGGCTCACAACAATTTTGCCATGTGTTGCTATGAAACATGTTGGGTCTCTTCTTTTGAAAGGTGTTAAAATATCAGAAACTTTCATGCCTTTTGAATGTAATTCATCAACAATTACAGAGAGCAGAAGACTCCCTATCATCATCATCATCATCATCACTACTACTACTACATTATGTTACAATTCTTTACCACCTGTAGCCTAAGCTGTATGGATGGTTCACAAGATATAAGCCTTCCTTCTAGATTTCAACTAGACCAGACCCTGCATATTCTCCAAGATTTGGCAGGATCAGACCTTTGGAAAAATGTTTTGTTCATCCGTTTTTAAAGAAAAGTGCTGATCTTTATAAACTACATTACAAAGAGGGAATTCCACCCCAGCATTAATGTCATGTTGAAGACTAAATTTATTTATACAGATGTTTATGGAGCAGGAATTTCATAATGCTTGACCCCCCCCCCCAAAAAAAAGGTAAAATTAGGGGCAGAAGAAGAATGGCAGGGTTTCCCCTAGAAAGCAGGGTGGGGAGGGAGGCAAATTAAAATAATGAAAACAAGAAAAGAGTCTATGCATACGTGTAATACAAACACATAGCTAAAGAAAGGAATGAAAGTGAATGGAATTGGAATTGGCTCTCCAGGACTTCAGACAGGAAAGTTTCTACCTCATCTAGAGACACCATGAATTAAAACTAGGATTTATGCATGAAATGCATGCATTACCACTAAGCCCTTCAGGTACTGTCTTTCCCTTGAAACAGAAACATTGGAAGGAATTTAATCTGTGCATATTGGACATACAGTGGTACCTTGGCTCATGAACTTAATCCGCTCCAGGACCATGGTCATGACCCAAATTGGTCATGAGTCAAGATAAATTTCCCCATAAGGTTCAATGTAAATAAGGTTAATCCATTCTGTAACTATTTTTTAATCAAAAAATGTGAAGCAAAGTGACAAAGAACAACAAAGATTGTGGCCATCTCCCTCCCCCTTCTCCTGAACAGGAGCACGGGCATCTCCCCCCACCCCCAGCACAACTGGGATCGCCCCCATCATCTCTGCACATGCCCATCATCCTGGCATGCTGCGGGGGGAAAGATGGGTGTGAACCCGGGTGTGCTGGGAGGGGGGAGAGACGGGCGGGGAAGAGGGCATGCTCAGGGGAGGAGACGGGCACGATCCTGCTTTGGGGTGGGGGGAGATGGCCTAGATCACAGTTGCATTCGTGCAGAAAAGCCAGGCACAATCATGGGCACACTCATGTAGGAAAGACAAGTGTGATATCGGCCATTTCCCCCACACACACACACCTCCTCCAGCAAAATCATGACCATTTCCTCACTCGGGGGTGGGGGGGAGATGGCCATGATCGTAGTCCCCACCCAATGCAGAGTTCGCAACCTGAGTAAATATTTTTATGAAATTTTTGTTTGCAACCCAATTTGGTTGTGAACTGAGGCGTTTGTGAGCCGAGGTGCCACTGTACATGCTTGTGTTCCCCACATATAATTGTTAGTACATAAGTATTGAAGAGGCACATGGAAGGGTCATCTTAATTTGGATGACATGAAAATCTTCTGTAGTTAAAACGAACTGTAGGTCATCTGTGTATGACTTTTTATTTGGCAGGGGTGGGGGGGGGGCAAAACAAATTAAGCCACAAAGGGTAAGTCAAGATGAGTTCAGATATCATGACAGCCAACAATGACCATTGTTCTGTCCAAGCAAAGTCACTAGGCCAGTTTGGATATCACTTGGGTTATTCCCCAAGTCACCTGGGGAATAACCAATTTGTTGTTTGCAGAACAGCTCAGAAACCACCCAATAGTTGATTGGGCTCATCATGGGCAGTTGATCTGCCTTCCCTTTCGGTCCTCCATTAGGTATCTTAGGGGATTTGGTGGTTACAGCCACATAATTCCCTCTTCCCATTGCTACTGTGGCATCTTTTTCACTTGCCATGAGTTTCCTCCCCTTTTACCATTTATAATTATATTTTTATTCTTCAGTCTAGAGCATCTTGCTGTGAAGGGGTGATCTACAGGCTTTTTGTGTATATGTGAGTTTGCTTCATCTTGAAAGCTCACACTTTCACAGCTGCAAAAGCGCACACAATTAAAAATGAACTTATTTGTGGTTCCTTTGGGTCAATGTCCAGTGCCTGTGACTGCAGCACTTTGACATGAGATACCTCCCAGGACATCCTTCACCATCTGAACAACCCTTTTTAATTCACGAATATCTTGTGCTTAGAAACCAACTTAAAGTGTGTTTATGAGTGCACATGTGTGTGGTGGGGAGAATCAGGACAACTCTGCAAATCTCTTGGGGAAAACAATCAAAGGATGCTCATTTTGTTAGCCATAGGCTCAATGATTTTGACTGGCCACCATTTCAAGCATTCTATGTCATGTAACATGTATATTTTTTAATAGTAAAACTTCCAAGCTTAAAAAAAGAAACAAATTTGGACAGAGGAATGGGGATTGACATCTGCCCATACTAAAGCCAAACACATCCCAAGCTTCTTACATAAGCCAAAGCAGAAGTTGGGATCATGCCAATACATGCCATTACCTTCACACTGACATTAGACTTAATCTTGTGAGGCTGCAATAGACTCCTGAGAATTGAGCACCCTGAGGACATGCAGAAATGCGTTCTAGTTAAATTTTCCACAGCTTCTTTTTCTCCACTACCATCATTAAAGAGAAAATGCTTTTCTGGGAGTGTCTGTCCACAAGCAGTAAAGCTGGAGAGAAAGAGGAAGCTGAAACTGTCTTCATTTCACAGAAAGCAAACAATTCAGAACATGATGGCAAACCAATCAGGAGTGAATGAATTCTTGCTGAATGGATTCCCGGACACTCCAGAGCTGAAGATACTTCACATCATTGTTTTTCTCATACTGTATGTGGTGGCCCTTACAGAAAACTTTCTCATCATCACAGTCATCATCTACAGCCATCAGCTCCATACACCCATGTACTTCTTCCTGGCTAACCTCTCATTCCAAGACGTTGGCTCTATATCAGTCACAGTCCCCAAGTCCGTGGCAAATACCTTGATGGACACCCAAGCCATCTCTTACCCTGGATGTGTCTGCCAAGTCTTCTTCCTTGTTTTCTTTGTGATATCCCACTTTGTCCTCCTTGGTGTCATGGCATATGATCGCTACATTGCCATTTGCAATCCTCTGCATTATGAGACCGTGATGAACAAGAGAACCTGCATCCAACTGGCAACCAGTGCATGGATTGGTGGCCTTTTCTACTCAATATTCCATTCTGGAAATGCATTCACAGTCCAGTTCTGTTCAAGTATAGTCAACCAGTTCTTTTGTGAAATTCCACAACTACTTAAGATGTCTTGCTCGGACACATATTTTCCTGAAGTAGGAGTAATGACTTTCAGTTCTTGTTTAAGTTTCATTTATTTTGCACTCATTGTTTTTTCTTATGTTCAGATCTTCAGAGCAGTTTTAAGAATCCCATCTACACAAGGGAGACAGAAAGCCTTTTCAACTTGCTTGCCACATCTTGTTGTCATTTCCTTGTTCATGGTGAGTGGTACTTTTGCCTATTTGAAACCAACCTCCACCTCACCATCAGTTTTTGATCTCTTGGTGTCTATCCTGTACTGCTTAGTGCCACCGGTGATGAACCCAGTGATCTATAGCATGAGGAACAAAGAACTCAAAATAGCATTTTGTAAGTTGATTGTCAGCATTTTGCCTCAATTTGCCACAGAATAAACATTCTCTAACATAAAAACAAACATTGTAGGAAACAGTTTCACTCCCCTAGACATTTCCTGTAAACATTTATGCATACACTAATTCAGTTAAATATGTCTAAGTTCTATAAACCTTTGTGGGAGAGTTACGTATCTGAACATGATTAATAGCTTAATCTTCACTCAGAAGAGAAGTTAATATCACTTAATACAATTGGATTTCATTCCTAATAAGGATATATAAGTCTACAGCTTTAATCAATACCATTAGAAACTATTTTATATGTTTCAATCTTTAACTTTTTACAAACAAAATCAGTAATTCCTTGGCATGTACCTGTAAGACAAAACGTTTCCCTTAAGTGTAATTACCTGTATATTTATTTTTGCAGTAGCTGTAATCTTTTACTGATGGGAAGTGTAAGCTTTCTAAGGAAATCCTCTGGCTTGGACTAGGCTTGATTTGGGGGACATGCAGGAATGGGCTTTTGTAGCGCAGTACACTTGAGCTTCCAATGGTACCTATTGTACTGCTGGAAGGATGTCTCTTGAAACAAAACAATATTTATAGTACAAACTGTAATGTTGGGAGGTTGTTAAAGCACTGTGATGGAAGCACAAGCAATGACAGAGGGCCATCACTACTGGGGAAAAAGTTCACTATCCATAATGAATGGTTTCCTCAATGTCTTCTCAAGATAGACCCCCTGGATCATAATAGGGCAGAGAAACTGGGGGAAGTTAAAAGGCTACATTGTTTTGTTTGGTTGGGGTGAACATTATTTCTGGCTGCAAGTAACATCACTATTCTCCCATTGTAACTGTTTATCCAAATCAGAAGAACTGAATGAATGTGTAGTGCAACTTTCACAATATACAAATGGCTTTCCATAATGCTACTACCCTTTTCTCTTAATCAGTCCTATACCCCAAATGGTTGTGGAGATAATTAGGGAGAAGATGATAATTGTGTGGGTTGATTGAAAGAATTTCTCTGAAGAAGTAAAGTGGGATAAAATACAATCATAACACAATTGGTTGGGGGGAGATTAATGTGTATAGGATTAGAACCATGGTTCATTTTTTAACTCAATCATTCCTACACTGACTGGTAGCAGCTCTCTAGAGTTTCAGGTGGGAGTTTTTCCAGGCCTAACCAGAGACTGCAAGGACTCAACTTGGTACATTCTGCATAGGAATCATGTGTTCTATCATTGAACTATCTTCTCTCCTTTCCAGGAGAAGAATTAGAAAGAGTTTAATTGTAACTCCTCTGTCACACTTGCTTGCGACCCCTCCATATAATTATTTGTTAACTGAGTTGAACATGACCAATATGGTTCCTCAGTGCTCTGACAGAGAGCTGGCAAAATCAGTATGTCCATATCAAGAAAAGCATCAAAAGCACCTGCTGACTTCCTGACAACCTTCTTTCTTATTTTAGACATGTCATTATGAAAATAATGTTGACTTAGCAGTTGTAAATATTACACCTTTTTGCTGAAGTCTAGGTGTCAAGGGAGAGAAGATAGAGGGTTGGGAATCTTTAGAGGGAAAATATTTGTGATTAGCCAGGAAATAACCTACATTTCTTTGTGATTAAGGCTTTTTAAATTAGTTCTTAGTTTAACCTGGTCCAATCATTGGGATCTCATTTGTATGTTCTGACACTGGGGAAGGGATACTGAGATAAGTGTGAGGAAGTGATAAGTGTGAGGAAGCTGACAACTAACAGATGAATCCAGAAGGGTCTCAAGGCAATACAGGACTAGGGCAATAGAGAGACTCTTTGCCAGTTCCAGGTACGCTATCCTCCCCATCTAGATTTGGACCTAAAATACCAAGGAAACATGTGGGTGATTGGATGGTAAGTTGTAAGAAAACACAATTCATGACACTGCAGAAAATCATCACTGAACACAGTGCAAGTCAGAAAAGCCAAGAACCTTCATCTTTGTTCTGGCCTTGAGGAGTTTGAGGCAACTGCATTCTAAAATTGGAAGTTTCCTCACCCTACCCCACTGAATTTCCCTGCTTTTGCAAAGAAGATTTATCAGTACAGCATTTGCAATCCTCCTTTCTCCTCAATGTATTTGAATTTGCCTTCTTGTCATTCAACATATGATACATGTGATTATAAATACTTAGTTGATTGAAACATTCATTTTATTATTGAAATGTCAATAATGTCAAGCAGACAATCTATGCAGGTAACCATGTTTGGTAATTAGAAAAAAGGAAAGCAAATGGTAATCTTCTGCATTTATTAGCAATAAACAAAAGACACAATCAATTGAACACTTTATGAGATACCCATAAGGTTTCATGGTGTCAAAATATAGTAAATGAGTGAAAGTCTAGAGATGTTAATCAGAACCTACCTATCCTCATTTATAATGAAAGCTGTGGATACAAAATGGGGCAGCAATTCTCTTCTGAAACAATGGAAACTCCTATTAAACAAATTCCTACATTTACAGGAAGGGGGAAAATGGGGTGGAAGGTGGCTCTAGGAACTTTTCCAGTCTTGTCATTATGATGTACTTCTCAGAAACCTGCAGAAGTTCATTTAGAACAGCCTCTCATTTCCCTTATTCCAGAAGCAGAAGGATTACCTCTGAGTAAAGTTTAATAAATACTTTTGTTTACTTTCCTTTCTCTCAAGTGTTCTTTCTGTCAGCCGCAATACCAAAACTTTACATTAATGATTTCCATTATTGAATCATCTTCTGATGTTTCCATCACACATAATAAAGTCCTTTTTAAAATGAAATGACTTGATATAAACATTACTATACTACATCCAGATATGTGGCAGTATATAATTAAGAAAAATATCAGAAGGAGGGCTTCTTTCTCTCCAAAGCTTTGAGAAGCATAATCAGGCGTTAAAACATGAAGATGCCCCTTCTGTGTTTACACATCTCTCATGCAACTGCTTGGTTCTCAGCATCTTGTTATAATCATGATTGGGTTTTATTCCATGCAGAATAAACTGTGTCACAGGAATCAGCTTAAACAATTTCTTAAACAATTTCTTTTTATGTAAAAGCTCTGAGCCTTTTAAGTATAATCAAGAGTAAGTGTGTAAGAGTAAGTGAGAACTTTGGACTGGAGACCTTTAGATTCTGTTGCCCACACATCCATGAAAGCTCAGTGCGTGACTTCAGACTGGTCACTCACTTTCAGCCTAAACCACCTCACAGGTAGCTTTTGTGAGGATAAATAGAGAGAAAAGGGACAATGTAAGCCACCCTGGGTTTCTTGCAAAAGGGAAAGGGTAGGATATAAATGTAATGCAATAATAATTAGCAATCTTAACAGCAACAACCTACAACAAGGGGGTCTTTTTCTACAGTGTCCGCAGGAGACAAATCCCATTCCCATGAATTAAAAACTCTTCATTCAGCAGAGTGCCATGCATATTACCATTGGCACAAGTAGGGTACCTCATTAATGAAATAGCTTTGTTGTATTTACAAGTTACAAAATGATTCTGAAACACTTTATCTGAGCAACCCTAATAGCACAATCTTTCTTCATTCAGAAAGTCCTACCTCTGAGTAGGAATGCAAGGGCATGTTTATTATTCCTTCCCTTTCTTCACAGGCACGAAACTCCCATTCTTACATATTTCAGCTGTTTCCATGAAAAGTTCAAAGAAATAGGCTTGGTGCACGGCAAATTAGAGTAAAATGTGTATATGTGTTAACATTCATCCCTGTTAACTGGCTGTACCCTGTGAACTGGCTGTACCCTGGAGAGCCAGTGTGGTGTAGTGGTTAAGAGCATGGGACTGGGACTCAGGCGATCTGGGTTCTAATCCCCGCTCAGCCATGGAGCCAACTGAGTGACTTTGGGCCAGTCACAGACTCTCAGCCCAACCTACCTCACAGGGTTGTTGTTGTTGTGGGGATAAGATGGAGGAGGAGAATGAGTAAGCTGCCTTGAGTCCTTTGTAAGAAAAAGGCAGGATATAAATCAAAAAGAAAAAAAAAATTTTACAGGATCAATCTGAAGTCTTTACACTTCTTGCGGGATATGTCAGGTACCCATTATTAAATTAAATTCACAACATTTAAAAAGATGTTGAAGCTTATAAAGGCAGAGTCTGTGTGTGAAAGGGAGCAGGGGAAGGCTCTCTCAGGGCTTTTCAATTATGCAGAGAAAGTTTACCTTGACAGAATGAGATGAGCAAAGGTATTTGTAGAAGGGTGTCTCTAGCCAGACAGTTTTCAAACAGTATTTTTTTATTTCTTTTTTTAACCAGATTTATTAAGGGTGGGACAGTGGAATAGATTGATGTAAATGTCAAACCCAAATATGAGGAAGCCCTGGAGATGTCTATTAGACCTTTAAGGAGAGGACACTGAGGTGATGAGAGGGCAGGAACTTTTGAAGTTCCATAAAGGATATTGCCTGCAGGTTTCCAGGCTGACAGGGAAAGCAAACATGTTTTGGAAGTGATAGGAGGGAGAGCTGCTCCCTTGCCAAGTCCCTGAACCTGTGATCAGGCATCAAGAAAGATGAGCCACCCACTCATAGGGCTTGCAGAGGTCTTGCCAGCTGATGTTCCCCCAGTGGAAGCCATCTTGAGGGTGGAACCTGCTATGTGAAAGAAAGGGGAGCATTGAGGAGTGTCCAGATTGGGTTCAACACTCCCTTCTTCACTCTACATTAGCAGAGGCTATGGTTCGGTTGCAATGGGTTGGACACGACCTCAAGACTTCACGACTAACAACAACAACAATGTTTCGGCTTACTAAGAGACTCTTAGAAGTTTATTCATTTATTTAGAGTTTTTGTATGCCATCCCATCGCTTATAGCCTCGTTAGCTGTGAGCTGTGAGCCTAAGTTATCTGTGAAATACTGATCAAGATCTGCATTGGCAAGAAAGATAAGCAGATGATGAAGTAAATAAAAATACGGAAAAGACAGAAAACTGGGGTAAACAAATTGAAAAGGCTTTTTCCTTCCCTAAACAGAAGAAATTCTTTAGAAGTCTGAAGTGGTGTTTTACCCCTGTTCTCTCAAATGCAAGTGATCAGGTAACCTTCTCTCCTATGTGCTTGCCCACATCTGCCCCTCCCAAGCTTGCATTAATTTTGTGTTCAGGGAATGCGATTGGAACTAGATTTACACTTACTGAAGAAAGCTGGATACATTATCTAGAGAAGAACAGCTTTGAGAGGGCATTTTTTATTTCCTTGTTTCTCATGCTGTAGATTACTGGATTTAGCAAAGGGGGGACCATTGAATATATGATGGTAAATGCCAGATCCAGATATGATGGGGTTTTTGAGGTTGGTTTCAAGTAGGCAAAGCTTCCAGTGAATGAAAAGGTGGAGAGGACAATGAGATGGGGAAGACAAGTTGAGAAGGCCTTTTGCCTTCCCTGTGCAGAAGGGATTTTCAGCACTGCTGTGAAGATCTGTACATAAGTTACAAAGATAAAGATAAAGCAGCCTAACACAATGCTAACACTGAACCCAACCAATCCAATTTCAATTTGATATATATCAGAGCAGGCAAGCTTCAGCATCTTTGGTATTTCACAGAAGAACTGATTGACAATCTTTGAGCAGAAAGGGGTTAAAAATGTTCCAGTGGCGTGTAACATTGCATTGAACACACTGCTGATCCAGGCACTGGCAATAATCTGGATGCAGGCTTTCCTGTTCATCACCATTTCATACTGCAGTGGATTGCAAATGGCAACATATCGATCATATGCCATGGCTGTTAGAAGGGCAACATCGGCTCCAAGGAATAAGACGAACAAGAAGACTTGAGCGACACATCCAGAATAGGAGATCTGTCTGACATTCATGAGAGAATTGGTCATAGATTTGGGGACAATGGCTGACACTGAGCCTATGTCTTGCATGGCCAAATTCATCAGAAAGAAATACATGGGAGTGTGAAGGTGGTGGTCAGAAGCTACAGCAACAATGATGAGAAGATTTCCTGTTACTGTGGCTAAGTACAATGCCAGAAATAAAATAAAATGTAGAATCTGCAGTTCCCAAATCGCTGAGAATTCCAGGAGCAGAAATTCAGAGATTGTGGATTTGTTATCTGTTTTCCCCATTTGTTATTAATAACGATGCTGCTTCAATAAGAAACCAAAAATATAAAAAGTTAATATTATAGCCTGATTTAATAACAAGCAAACAAACTAAGTGAATTTTGGAGAAGTTCTGTGGACAGGAAAGGAAAGACATAAGGGAGGATTGTTCAAGATTATAAAGAAACATTCCAAGTCTCATCTCCCCGTTTGTTTTATTTGAAGTATATCAGTCTCTGACCTGCAGCTTCAAAACTGTATCATCCTGCTGTTAAGTAATATTGCAAATGAACCTTGTAGTGATTATTGGATGAACTACAGAAGACCATGTGGGTGGGGGGAGGGGGTAGACTTCGCATTTAGGAAAAGATTGAGCTGAAATACAGAGAGCTTATGGCTCCGTATGTACAATACTATAGCATGAGGAGAGAAATAATGACCAGTTAGGGACAAGGACAACACCCAAGATAGTGAACTGACAAAATATCTCTTTCCATGCAGAGCCCTAGTAGGCTGGATTCAGCCTTAATTAGCCTCACTTTGCTTCTACTGAAATCAAGAGGCAGAATGTTGCCTTGGTCGATTTAAGTTAGCCATTATTGGTTCCAATGAAAACAAGGTATGACTGATTTAGTTCAGATTCACCCCAATTTATTAGTACCATTCTTGCTCCCTTAATAATGGTATTTGCAAACCTGTTCTCCCTCATATTATGTTTCCCCCAACCTCCCCCACCCCTCCAAATTCAAAGCTTAGGGAACTGAAGCTCTCTTTTTCGTAACTATGGTTTGGTGAAATACAAAAATGAAGCAGTACTCAGCTTATAAATAGTTCCCTATCCACCCATAATACATTCAATGCTTATCTGCAGTTCCTAGATATTTGAATATTTAACACTTTATCGGACTTACTTCTGAATAAACATGCATAGAATTGTGTCTCATGGAAGGCAGCAGTAAAAAGCAGTTGACTTTCTAAGATAGATAGTGGAATAAATAGATTTTCCAGGTCCTTTTGCTGCTCAGTAACTAAAGAAAAGCAAATATCTGTGTTAGTGAGAGAATTATATTCCTAAAAGTGATATGATACACATGTCTAAAATTTACAGTAAGATAAGGAATAGTTTTATAGCAAGGATCAATGATGCTTAAGGAATTAAGATAATGTCATATGAAGAAATAGAGGAGGGAAAAAAGCATGCTTAGCACTGATTGAGCAATAAAAAGACTAGTTTTTCAAAAACACCATTTGTGGAGACAACTATGCAGGATGCTTTGTGGTGGATGGTTCTACAAAATGGAACAGTGACATTTGGAGAAGGCAAGAACTAACTGTTCAGGAACTAACCATTCCAACCAATTGCTGGAGCTTCCATTTGACAAAAGTGTCCTTTATTACGGTATGCACTTTCCACAGCTTGTTTCCCAAGGCTTCAGCATTTCTAGCCCTCTAAAACATTAATGTTCAGTGCTCAGTTACCAGAAGTCCTGTAGCCAAATAATTATCAGCTTACTTAGACCAATTATGTGAAATTCATACACAATACGTTTTGGCCCTCATATTTTTCCTCAGGCTACCAAGACACAATGCAGTAGCAGTGGAAGAAGCTGCAATTCCCTTGCCAGGGCTTAGACCTGCTTCCACACACACTTTAATTTTATATATTAAAATTATGTTATCTAATGTGCTATTACGTCTTTAATTTTGTAAGCCAACTAGAGATCCATTTTGGATATAGACAGGATAAAAAAGTTTTAAATAAATAAACCCCTGAGCTGCCACTGAATGTTTGCCTTCCATGTTGCATGGTAGCTTCAGTTGTGTGGACTCCTTAAATCCATTCCAGGGAATAGATAACTCTGTGCCTTAGGTCCTCTATTTTATCACGTGTAGTCATTTGGTTCCAAAGAAGTGGTGAAGCAGAAACAGCCTTTGTCCTTATTGCCTAACTAACATATCTCTTCCAGATGTAGTCTGTAACAGCTGCAATGTCCCTGAATTTTTGGAGTCTGAGTGCCTTTAATACAGCATGTTTTTCTTTAACTGAGTATATGTTTGTTAACTCCACAGAAGCATAGGAAGCAAAATTGTATTTAAATAATTGCAAAATGTATGAAATTCTTGATGTTTCAATAAGCTATGCAAAAGCAATGCAATCCCTTTTCTCTACCTAGAATTGCTATAAGAAAATTGGGGAAAACAAAACATGGAAACAAAGCAAATGTGTGTGTTATGGTAAATAAGTAAATGCAGTGCTACTTACCACATCTACTAGGAATATGTTTCTGATATATATGAATTCCAAACCAACTTGAGCTGATTTCGATAGATCAAAGTTTGGATCCCCAGAAACACTCTGACTCTGAATCAAAACATTTCTGAAGATAGGGATTTAAAACACAGAGGTACAGATAGTGTGTCCCTAAATATAGATACCCTAATTTTTGCACTGCATGCTCATAGAATCATAAAAGAAAAGAATTACAAGAAGCTTACACAACTGTTGAGTCCAACCATCTGTTCAATGCTGTTGAGTCCAACCACCTCCTTAGGTAACTGGTTCCATTGCCATACTGTTCTAACAGTCAGGAAGTTTCCCTGATGTCCAGCCAGAATCTGGCTTCCTGCAACTTAAGCCCGTTCTTATGTGCCCTGCATTTTGTGATGACTGAGTAGAGATCCATATAATTTGATCTGTAATAGGGAATATTCCAACACTTCTTAAATTAACTGTTAATTGTCAGAGCCCAGACAATCCAAAAAGCAGAGTTGGAAGGGATTTAACAATCTGTACATTTCTAACTCCCTCCATTCAGCCAGCAGAAAATTGCACTGTAATTTTATCACTAAAATTATTTTTAAGAAACCTACTTTTTATCTTGTTATAAGATTTATATTTCCAGTTGCAATTTCTTCACCAGACACTTAGAGCATTGCATTCCTCAATCCAGCCCTCCCTTCATTCTCTTGTGTCTTTGAGACCGTTAAAGATAAATCCCACTTTTCCTTGAGACAATCACACCCTTTTATTGTGCAGCTGTTACTATGCAGCTATGAATCATTGATGTAAGAGGAGTTGCTGTGGGCTGAGTCTCAGGAGCCCAACACAAATCAGCCATTGTGTCCCAGAAGACTTGGTCCCAGGAGTTCAGAGCAAATCAGAAACAGGATGTATAAACAAAAATTAAGTTTCTGGTCTTTACAACTGGTAATACTAGCAAGTAGGTGTGGATTTAGGTACATACAGATGAAATATTAAAGATGAGTATTAAGGTTTTTCCAGTCACAATGCCAAAAGTATTTAGTGGCACACTTCAAGTCATTTCTAGTTTCCATTATACACACCCATGAGGGTTCTTCAAAAAGTTTCCTCAGTTTTTAAGACTCTATTAAGAATTTCAAAAACAAATTACATCACTTTTCTACTAAGTCACCTTCCTTTGTGATGCATTTTCCCCAGCATCGTACCAACTTTTTAGTGCCACCAGCAAAAAAATGTTTTTGGTTGAGTGCATAGTCACTGATACACTGCTGCTTTCACATCACGATCACATGAAAATCTTTTTCCCCTTAAAGCTCTGCATCTGTCACACTAGTTCGGCCATTTTGAACATTTCAATCCATTCAAAGATAACTTTATGAGAGATAAATTTATCCCTATACTGAGCACATGTGTGGATATGAATTTGTGCTCCCAGTACACCTTCTGGCCACAAAAATCATATGACAGAACACTGTTCCTTTTCGGTGCAATTTATAAGTTTCGCAGCCAATTCTTATACTAAACTACAAGGGCAACCAGCTTGCCACACAGACTAGTCAGACACGACCAGTTTCGATGCTTCCCACCCTCACTGTTTCCAATGAAAATATAAAAGTGTGGAAACTTTTTTGAAGACCATTCATTCATTCATTCATTCATTCATTCATTCTCTCTCTCTCACACACATATATATATCTGGAGCATTCTCTATGTATTGATCTTTTTTTGGGGGCGGGGGGGTTCTATAAATTTGATGGCATGCTAAGTGGAAAAGCAACTGCCAAAAAAGTGTAGTAGATGTTTGAGTGAGATCATGTGGCATGTTCACACCTCAATGTTTTGTGTGCATGAGGTAGAAATAAGTTTTTGAAAGATGTGATTTAAGAAAAAGAAAGTTTTAAATAACTGAGATAGCAACAGTCAAGTTTTGCTCCCATAATCAAATACAGTTTCTCCTCTTTGGGGATTACAGTTTGTGGGGTGGGAGGTGGCACCAATTAGTATCAATTCAAGTTCATTGCTAAATGTGAAGCCATAAAGTAGAGCTCAGAAGAACAGCTTTGCTTCATCTACTCTTGAGAATAAGACCCATAGAGCCCTTAATGTATCTCACTCACTAGCTTTTCAAATGCTTATTACCAGCATCTTTGGATCATGTCTGCACACCATGGCTTGCTTGGAAGAAAGAAAGAATGAAGTTTCTGTTACATTTTTTGCAGCATTATTTTGAACCGATGTTGGAGAATTTGATGTGAAATGGAAAGAAATACATGAATGAAAAGGTAATCATTCTTCTTTTTGCTATGCTTGATCATTTACTCATTTCCCTTCATCAACCAGCAAGTTGTAGCAGAGACCTTGGGCAGTGAGTTGGTAAGTCCTTGGATCAATCCCAAAGTCCTTCTCCCCATCTCTTACCTAAGGATACCATCAACATTAAAACAACAACATCACAGAATAGGTATTATATGAGGAATTACCTCAGCACAGAAGAAAGTTTAATTGTGATTATGATATTGAAAATGATAATGAGAACTTAGCAAAGCATACTACCTACAAAAAGCAAATGCTGTAGATGGTTTGGGAAAGAATCTAGATTTAAAATAGCCCCACTGATCTTACTGGGTCTCCTCAGTAATCACCCTTTCAAGGCTTGTTTCAGCAATGCACATACTGAATGCAAATAGCACAGACAATTTTGTCAGGATGCATACTTAGTCATACTTAGAGTAATCCAACCAATTTCAATAGATCTGCTCTAAGCACAGCTAAATCTGAAGCCAGACCAGTATCAGAAATTTAACTTTCATTAACTGCTCAGAGGGCCTTGGGCTATCGGGCAGTATAAAAATAAAATAAAGAAAGAAATTGGTCCATTCTATTGTTCCTTAGTTTTGATATAATATGTGTGCCTTCATTACAATATTGTATTCCCTGCTAATTCCAACCAATTTTTTTTTACAAAGAGATGTATTAGCTAGAAATAAAAGCAAACATTTAAATATTTACTATATGGCAATATTACCCACCTTTCCCTTTCTCCACACAGTTGATGTCTTCAGCAATGAGATCATAGAGCTGTGAAGTATTCACAGAGGATTGATCTTGTCTTCACTTCTTTGGTTTCAAAGGGCTGTTCTCTTGTGTTTCACATGTATAGGAGCACAGTCCCAGTGGGATGAATTAAAGCAGCTTGAATCGTGAGGCCATAAGTAAGAGGCCTCCCCCCTCCCCATCCCAGGATGCATCAGGACTTTTCTCTGATGATTCAGCTTTTGTTTAGAAAACCAAAATACTTTTGGGTATGCCATTTAAAAAAGCTTATTTTATTGCTCTTCAAAAAGAATTAGCATTTTGGATGTTCCTACCAGCTCTCTACTCAAAATGCCCAGCTGTTCACACAGAATGTGTATAACAGGATGCATTCCTTGAAGTCTGGATAATATCAGTGCAAATCTTCACCTAGATGTACATCTTCATTCACATTATCCTCATCTATGGAAGACAGTTGTGTGGATCTCCCTTTTTGCATCAAAACAAAAGTCTCTAACTTTTTCATTGGGGGAACAAATTAGCATATGGATTGTAGTTGTCCAATTGGTTAACAAAGGATTGCTCAGCAAAGGTATTCCCACCTTTCTGTGTTCTGGCCAACAAAGGAGAAGAGGCAGAGTTTTTGTACTCTCCTTCCTGTTCAGGCTGCATATATTTTTATTGGATAGTTGCATTCTTTCTGAAATTTATTTACTGATTTTTATGAAATGCTTTTCAAAAAAGGTGTGCCAAAAACGTCTAACAGTACTTCCCTAAGTGTATACCATCATAGAAAGCTAATTTAGGTAATGGTTGTCTGCCCAGGTCTGGCCCATTGCATGGCAAGGAGGAAGTGCAGGTTCAAATGGTGCATCATACCTGACCCATCCATCCCCTTGCAGACACATGACGATTGATCAACTGATTAAAACCTATATGTATATAAATCACATTGTTGGTTTTCTACTCAACCATACTATTTCTACATGCAACATAGGCAGCAATGAAGCCTCCTGGAATGATGGATGGAGGGTGTGGTGAGTGAAAGGATGCAATTTCACTCGCTTTCATGTGTTGGTGCAAATCAGGGTCCAAGTTGGTCTGCAGGCAGCAACAATCAAACATTTTTTTAAAAGATGGTACGTTAGAAGTTCAGATACTAAACTAAAGCATAAATACATACTTTGGGCACCTAATGAGTAAGAAGGAGTCATTAGAAAAGACCCTAATGCTGGGAACGATTGAAGGCAAAAAGAGAAGGGGACAGTAGCTGCATGGGGTCACTGGATAGGTGGGTGTGGGGTTGTGTACTCCAGAGGATGATGGAGGACAGGAGAACCTGGAGGAATGTTGTCCATGGGGTCATGAAGAGTTGGGAATGATTTGCAACTGAACCACAGCAACATAATCTGTCCCATCAATTTGAGCCAAAGGAGGCTATCTTCTGGTTGCCATTCTTCCTCCTCTTCCAAGGAAGGAGACAGGAGTAAGTAGTGCATGATTCCCACTGGAGGAGCAAATGATACATGGAACCATGCACAAATGTCTTGGTAGCACAAAAGCCACCCTCTCCTTGATGAGCTGAATAACTGAACAACATCAGTATTAATAAACTCATAGCTCTCAATTGTCCACTGTTGATCAAAAGTTCTTTCTCCTCTTCAATGAAAAAATGATGTCCAAGCCTGGTTCTGCTCCTTACTTCCCTTCCAGTCATGTTGGAAAAACATATGTAGGAAAAGCATGAAATTTAAATTCAAACAGGAAAGATTAAAGCAGTGGTGGCTGCAAAGTTTCTGAGAAGAAAATTCTCAGTAATGATCTGGGATGGTGAGAGCTTTAACTCTCTGTCTCCTAAAATAATAAATATAACTTTGAGGAATAGAACAGTCTAGATGAGATCTATCAGCTGGAGGGGGAAAAACAGCATTTGAGAGTTGTTGTTTTTTCCCTGCTAACTGCAGGCTAAAACATCTGCCCATTTATCTGGGTAGTGTGTCCATCATCCAGAAGTATAAGGGTTGCTGGATAGTGTCTCTGTGTATTTGTGATTATAAAACTTACAATGTTGCATTATTCAACCTGCTAAAGGCCACCTTGAGAGGTGGTCAATTGAAACATGGGGAATAATTTTCAAAATAAAGATAAATTATGATCAGGTCATGGTATCTGACAAGTTAAGTTTGAATCATGCAAGTGAGCTAAGGGAATGAGAGAAGGTTGTACCTCCATAGCTACACATATCTATAAGTTGTAAATGACATTGGTGTGTTTCCTTAATGAACCTATAATAATGGAAAAGGCAGGGAATTCAGTCTGTACAGAACAAGACTGGCAAATGCAAAGATGGCTACTTCAGACCTAATAACTTTGACAAAGCATTTTTCATCTCTTTGTTTCTCATGCTGTAGATTACTGGGTTTATTAAGGGTGGGACCACAGAATATAACATAGTAATGGCTAAATTTATATATGAGGGCATGTTAGGGGAAGGCTTTAGATAAGGAGGCCATGCAGTAAATATAAATAAGAAAAGGACAATGAGGTGGGGTAGGCAAGTGGAGAAAGCCTTCTTCCTTCCCTGTACTGTAGGGATTTTCCTAACAGCACTGAAAATCTTTGCATAGCTTACCATGATTAAGGTAAAGCAGCCAAACCCAATCATAGCACCAAATGCAACAATTCCATTTTCATAAAGGTATAAATCAGAGCAGGCAAGCTTGAGTAACTGAGGGACTTCACAGAAGAACTGATCAATAACGTTGGAGCAGAAAGGGATGGCAAAGGTTCCACAAGTGTGCAACACTGCATAGAGAAAGGTGCTGATCCATGCTCTGGCAGCCATGCGGTCGCAGGTTCTTCTGCTCATTATCACTTCATAATGCAGTGGATTGCAAATGGCAACATACCGATCACAAGCCATTACTGTAAGGAAGGCAACATCAGATGTTACAACGAAGATAAACAAAAGAACTTGAGCAACACATCCAGAATAAGAAATATGTCTGATATTCATGAGTGAATTGATGATTGATTTGGGAATAATGACTGAAACAGAGCCTATGTTCTGCATGGCCAGGTTCATCAGAAAGAAGTACATAGGAGTGTGCAGGTGATGGTCAAAAACTACAGCAGAGATGATGAGAAGGTTCCCTGATACAATTGCTAGGTACAATACCAAGAACGAAAAGAAGTGCAGAATCTGCAGTTCCCGGATTGCTGAGAATTCAAGGAGAAGAAATTCAGAGAGAGAGGATTGGTTTTTCATTTCTTCCATTGATTCCTAAAACTTATGCCTCCTCTGGAACAACACAGAAAGGTGAATGCTAACATCATAATATCTAGTATCCAGATAAGATTGTAGCTGGCTTATCAGTCAAAGCTCATAAAATATCTTTGTTGTCATGCTGATGACTTGGAAATCCAGTGACAATAGTTGGTCAATAAACACACCCACACAGCAAACCTTGATCTTTTAGAAACAGGTCAACCCCTTCCAAAACCAACTGAAAGACCAAAATTCCAGGTCAATGGGCCAGCACCAAAGTGTGCCTCTGTGTTAAATGACTCAATCTTTATTCATCCTCATCCAATCCATTACCATGGCCAAGTTATCTTGCATTACACCACTGGAGGACTGGTCTCAGGAATCCAACACAAAACTCCTATTATATTTCTGGAGACTTGGCCATTGGAGTCTATCATTTACAAATGATGTGTAAATTGCATGTATATTATAACATCATTTAAAGTTGAAGTAAATGAATGGAATATTTTTGAGGCTAATGTTCTGTTACTATCTCTTGCAGCACATTAATGAAAGAAGCTTTAAAAAACCCATGTCAATTATAAAAAGAAAGAAGAGTTGTTGAATTACGAACATTTTTGCATGACCATTCCAGTAATTTTGGTGGTCTCAAAATTGGGCAGAAAAGTTACTTTATTTCAGAAAAGTTCCTTTATGTTCAGTTCCTTTATTTTTGTTGTAGGATGAAAGCTAAGACCTGAAGTCCACTTATCTTGGCAAAGGGGTTATTTCTGCTACTCTTTACATTAACATAGAGTGAAGTCAAAGCATTGGATTCAGTTGGCTTCATGGTTCTATGATTTCTTTGATTTTATTAAATTATTAACATTCTTATATCCCATATCTACCCTTTTGGAAAGAAAATACCATACCATCAGACTTGCACATTAAATAACAGACTTGCCACAACAAAAACAAGCATATTAAAACAGTATAAACATTAAGACACATTTATAACACACAGGGACACATTTTAAAATCATACAGTGAAAGGCCAAGAGAGTGTGGGGAAACCATAGGTTCAGGGAGAGCATATTGCACAGTTTGGAAGTCACACAGGAGGAAGCCCTTTTGCACTTGCCCAAGAAGCCCATTCCCCCAGTCACTCTGCTGGAATGGCTGGTGGGGGTGAATGGCATTTGTGGGCAGGAAAGAACAGGAAGCTAAGCAGGCTCCAGGGCATAGAATGTTTGTTGTGCGATCAGCTGGTGCCTCAAAGGCCATCTCTGCCCTGAGTCCCTTCCTTTTTCCTTCTTGTTGTTGACATGAGTAGTAGGAACCTCGCCAAGGAAAGGAAGAGCATCTTCTTTTCTCTGCATCAGGCAACAAGTGTCCTGTTAAAGAAGCAGTTTGTCCAACTTTACTGCAAACAATGCTCAAAGAAACATAGAAAAAGAGTGAGACAGAAGGAGTCTCCTGGGCCATCTAGTCTGACAACTGGCTCCAACAGGCTCCACTCATGACATGCCTACCATGTGCATGTCCAGCCTATCCTTAAACAGCCTCACTGTTGGGACTTCAACCACCTCCCATAGAAGCCAATTCCATACCGTAGGGGTCCTAAGTGTCAAGAATGACTTCCTGGCATTGTTTTAGTGCAGATATATATAATAATGCCTTCTCTTGTCTTATCTTTTCTGCCCAGTCTGTGCTTTCTGGACTGAACATGGTTTGAATACAAAATTCAGTTAAAATCCATACATTTCCAAGCTTGCAATGTGTCTCACAGACTACTCACACACATTGGCAGCTTGTGCACCTTTGAACAATGTGCAGAAAAAGTAAGTCTTTGATAAAAGCTCACAAATACACAGTACTCGATAAAAGAAGAATGTGTATACTTTAAAGTGTAGTAGGAATTAATTTGGAGTTAAGTATGCATATAACTTGACTGTAAACAGTTCAGCAACTACAGTATATGACTAAAAGAACAAAAACTGTGAGTGACAGACTACTATTTTGGTGGAAGAGGAGAATTACTATGTTTGTGACAGAGAAATAATGACTTGGTTCACATGACCAGGAGATCCAGCAATGGCAGTGAAATGTAGTTTGTTGTCATGTCACCCAAACATGGCTCTTTTTTTTTTTTTTTTTGGCCAAATGAACCACCTCAAAAACCAATGGGGTCTTGTAGAGTACATTTTACCGATGGTGGTTGTCATGTCATCCAAACCTGGACAATCAATTCCACCATGGGTAAAGTTCAGTGACTGGCAAGGTGCTCCGTAAGAAACAGGGTCAGCTGCCCCACAAGTTCCCAAACAAACTCTGGAATGCTCCCCTCCCCTCTACTTTCAACTCCACACAGGTTTTTTTGCAATTGAAACTTTTTTTTTTTCTTTTGAGATTGTGCACATTTTTGTCATCCCCATTTGACAGCTGCTGGCAGCCCTTTCCAAAGCCCTTCTCTCCATCTCATCTGCCCATTGTTCTGCAGCTTCCCAGGCTGCCTGTACTTCCTTCTCTAAAATAGCTGCATGGTAAGAATTGTCTTATGATGTCTTTTCATAGACTTTAATAGAAGGGGAGGAAGCTGATGAGGTCATGGGTTTCTAGAGAAGTGATTATATAATGAAAAATGGGATACTCACTCTCATTTCTTGGCCACCTCAAAAGCAAGGTACAGGAACACAGAACTGAATTGATTAGAATTCCACAAAATGTTCTTATCTGAATTAACAGCAAAAAGCAATCCCCACCACCACCAAAATAAAGGAGACAGAAATTGGCATGAGTGAATTGGGTTGGAGCAAAGAATCTATGAGGGGTTCCATTCAAGTTTTGAAGGAACATGCAGACAGGGCCTGAATTAAGGCTCAGCATAGTCAGACACCTCTCAACGGTACACACTCCAGAAGGAAGCCTGTTGACAGGCTGGATTTATTCCTTACTTCATCCTTGCAGCCTGTTCTTTTACCTTCTTTCACCTTTGTTCATACAATAGTGGCAATGTGAAAGAGAAGCAGTGCATGCTATTGCTCATTTGGTCCCTTCACATCTGTCTTCAACTAAGCAGATGGTAGCAATGATGAGGAAGATGAGGAGGAGGAGGCACCAGCACTGCTAATCTTCCAAAATCTGACACTGGGCCTCAGTGTAATCTCCAAATCTGTGGGTTGTACACCACTGTACTAGAGCTATTTTCTAAGTGATGAAATTTGGAGGAAGTTGATATGTAATATTTTATGATAGACAGAGGGCAGTTATAATTTCCAAAATATTCTAAAGATGCAATTCCATACATGCTTAACTTAAACACTGTGGGATTTCAGGCTGAGTAGATATGTACAGAATCAGTGTGTGAGAAATGCATGACTAGCAATGCTGTGCTGAATTACCACATCAGATTTTTTTTTAATTCACTGAATCAAGTGAAAAAGAACAAGAACCTAAGCTGATGACAGTAATGTCTCCCCATGAGTAATACTTTTATCAAAGTTCATCTCATTTGTTACACACTATAAGTTTAGGCTCTTCAGAAAAGATGAAGCAATGCAATTAAGCCTTAGAGGATGACTTTTCCCCCTGCTAGCAGCTTTGTTAGACTCTTGATAATAAGATGCCTCATTAAGACACCAATAAATTTTCATTTGCCAGCTTTTTCAGGAATCAATTGCACACTTCTCTGCCGGCTCACAAGAAAGAGTGAAATTACTGTAGCAATTTTTGCCATTATGGGTTTTTTGAGCAAGTAGAGAGAGAGAAAAAAATTGTTGTTACAAGTGTCAAGAATTCTTCAAATGAAAAAGGTAAGTAATTCATTTCAGTGTTCTCTTCCACCCCCTTTTTTCCTGCATGGCCATTTGTTATCGTTATTTTTTTCCCCTCCTTTCCTCATCCCATTCTATTATGTAGAACAGAGAATGAGTGATACTCAGGTATGAATATGACATATACATGAGTGGAGAAGACCCTGGATCAAAGTTCTAGCTTGAAGCTGATTTAACTTACTGGGTTATTACACGTATATTTTATAATGTATAAAATATTTACTCAACATAAATATGCTTGGAAAATGATTTTTAAAAATGGTGATGATGAGAAAAACGCTTGTGATGTTGAGAAAAACGCGCAGCAAGATTAATATATTCCTATGTAGTGCTGATGGTATAATTCACAATTCTGGAGCAAGAAACGCTAAGCATCACTTTTTAAACTAGCTATGTGAGGGATAGTTGAAGTGGCTGCCTTGACATTATGCAAGAACAACATGAAGAAGTAGCATCTAAGAGATTAATCAAGTTTACGCAGTCAGCAATATGCAGGACAATAGCTAAAAGCTGGAAAAAAGCCAAAGTGTTTATTATTGAGGGTGGATGTGGAACTCTGGCAATTATGCAACAATATCTAATCAAACTGTTTCTTTGGAAAGATAATAAATATAATCTGCTGTTATGAAAAATCATAATGAAAATCTCCAAGCAGTGAATAGACCCCCTCTTTTCTGGAAAAAAAGAGAGAAAATAAGTACTATCTCTGTTAAGAAGCAGCTGTATTCTTTATTTTATGTATGTATTTATTCCTTGTTTCTTTATGCTGGAAGAATCTAAATCTAAAAATAAACAAACTACCACTTCCCTTACTATTTTTCCGATTCCTGCTATTACCTAGTACACTTAATAGCTACATGATCTAATACAGCTAAAGTTGGCTGTGACAAAATATGGAAAATGTGGAGAGACGTTAACATTCTAACATAACTGATCTTTAGGAAAATGTATGGAAAAAGTTCACAACCTATATTAGAGTCAGAATTAATCATATTCAACCGGATACTGTTTAAAATGGAGAGCATCCATTTAATTTTCAAAATAATTAGGATGATTTCTTTGGTTTAGCTAATGTTCTAGTAAAGGTGAGAAATGCTTAAGTATTAAACAACAGCCTTGCAAGCTTGAGTATTGACCTTGCAGAAGAGGAAAAGGGTTGTGCTGGGGACAATGAGGGGAGGAGAAAGGAGGTGGCAGCTTACACCATAAACACTCTCAGTTCTTTGGATGAAGCAGTGCCCTCCCTTGTCCTCCCTGCTGCTTCCTCCAAATGGCTGAAAACAGCCGCCTAGAGGAAATCCAGGGCATGAGGTTCAATAGCAGTGAAGATCATCTCTGCACCTCACTTCATGAACTGGATGGACATAAGTCTTCAAGTTTGGAAGCTTCCATGCATTGAAGCTGTTGGCACTGGATTGCATCCTAGAGGAATTTATAGCAGTACCAGATTCTGTTTGTTTCACATTTTAAGGAAATTGATCTATTTCCCATTTTTCAGATATATATGCATATTGGACTGCAGTTATCCCTTGGATTTTGTTGTGCTGTGATTTTCTGCATAAAAATGCATATATGATGTTCATCATATGTGAATGTGTGCACATTTTCAATGTGAATTCAAATGAGACAGATCACATGAGAAACTGGCATGAACTAGAAAATCCATCCTTATCCCAGGTTAACTCTTTTTATTTTTTATTTATTTATTTAGGGGACTTCTATGCCGCCCCATTCGCCGAAGCCTCGGGGCGGCTCACAACCATAAATAAATAGAATCCAATAAAACAATATAAATGAAGTTGCCCTGGCCTCTTCTTTTGACCATGACAATAATTAAACTGTTTTGTTCTTTGATGCTTCCAGAGAGTTTCCTGAAATTTAACATGGAGAGAGGGAAAACATTCAATCAAACTTCTATGGCAGAGTTTCTACTGCTGGAGTTCTCTAATGCCCGAGAACTACAGATTGCTCAGTTCATTTTGTTCCTGTGTTTTTTTTTGGCTGCAGTCGCAGGAAATCTTCTGATCATCTTGGCAATTGCACTCGACCGTCGCCTTCACACCCCTATGTACTTTTTCTTGATGAACTTAGCTGTGACAGATCTTGGCTCTGTCTCTGTCACTATACCTAAATCCATGGCAAATTCCCTCATGAATACCAGGCTGATTTCTTATTTTGGATGCATTACTCAAGTTTATCTTTTTCTGCTCTTTGCAGCATCAGATTACACTCTCCTCACCATCATGGCACATGACCGGTACATTTCCATCTGTAATCCACTACGATATGAAGCCATAATGAACAGGGGCACCTGCATTCAGATGGCAGCGAGTGCATGGCTAAGTGGCATTCTCTATGCTGTCCTCCACACCAGCTGCACCTTCGCCATGAGTTTCTGCTCCAATATTGTTGATCAGTTTTTCTGCAAGCTCCCCCAGCTACTAAAAATCTCTTGCTCTAAGTTATACCAAATGGAAAGTGCTTTTCTTGTTTTAAGTGTCAGTGCAGCATTTGGCTGCTTTATCTTCATAGTAGCAACATATATAAAAATTCTTGCTACGGTGCTGAAAATTCCCTCATCACAAGGCAGACAAAAGGCTTTCTCTACCTGTCTTCCACATCTCATTGTTTTCTCCATGCTCCTTTTCACTGGAACCCTTGTCTACCTGAGACCTATACCTAATGTCTCCTCACACACGAACATGGTGTTTGCTGTCATATATTCTGTGGTTCCACCCATGATAAATCCTGTGATCTATAGCTTGAGGAATAGAGATATTAAGGTTGCCATGGCCAAGCTATTAGGCTTGAAGTAGGTTTTTAATTGTGCATACTATGGTTTTCTTTGCTAAATGAGGATGTTTATGCATTTTACCATGACAGTCATATTCTAACATGACGATATTTTAGCATGCAGTCAGAATCTTTGAGCTTCAGCTTGAAAGGAAGATAAAAGGCAGTAACTGCCAGTTAGTGTGAATGGCAGGCAGTCGAAAGTAGAACCAGCCAAAAGTTAACCTACTGTGTAGTTTTGGTTCTTTATTTTTTGCTCCTTCTTTTGATTGCGCAGTGGTTTTCACCACTGTGATGCTGGGCTGGTGGATCAAAATGTTGCTGGTTTGAATCTGCACAACGGGGTGAGTTCCCATTGCTCCGTCCCAGCTCCTGCCAACCTTGCAGTTCGAAAGCATGCAAATGCAAGTAGATAAAAAGGTACCACTTCGCTGGGCAGGTAACAGCGTTCCATGCACTTCGGTGTTAATCATGCCGGCCACATGACCATGGAGACTGTCTGCGGACAAATGCAAGCTCCCTCGGCTAGGAAACAGAGATGAGCACCAGCCCCTAGAGTCAGGCATGACTGGACATAAAGTCAAGGGGAAACCTTTACCTTTTCAGTGCAAAACTAGAGAGAGACGACTCTATCTGTAATGTTCTCATTGAGATTGTTCTTCTTTCATTTCCACATGAGCGTGCATTTTTAATAAAACACACATTGTGCAATTTAATACAATAAATGTATTGCATGTATGTATATTGCATAAAATACAATATATAAGGAACGTTGTACATTTTAATTATGCATAATGTACAAAAATTGATGCCTTACATAATTTTGGGCACACTTGCCTTTGGAGTAAGCCATTGACTAAAGCATATTTGTGCATATTTTGCAAATCATACACATTTTGCTTACTGTATGTTTCCAAATTGTGCACAGTTTCAAAAGTATTTTGTTTTGTTCTGTAGTATGCATTGCAAGTGTGGAAATGTGCATATTTCCAACCACAATATGCTTGCTGGAACAAATGGGGTAACTCCATTAAACAAACAAAACCTTTATTGGACCAAGTTTCTCATAATTTTTTTGGCGAAACATGATGCACATTTTTGCTGGATTTTTTTTCTGCTGCTATGATTTTTGCTGTGTTGTGAGTTGCAGTGGCCTCCAGTACTACACTCCAGCCAGAAGCCACCCTTTCAGAAAGTCACCCAAGAACTACATTACACAATCACATTGCTCTGATCCCTGAGAGCATTCAAGGAATGAAATAGAAGTGGCGAGTTGATGACAAATATTGATTTGGAATTCATGAAAATCCCTGCTCCCATCTCTTAAATATCTGTAAACCTTATGCTGTTATGCACCAATTGTGCCTGTTCCTAGAAAAACTGATCTGGTTGCAGCAATGTGTTAACTACAGCCTGTGTAGATTACTGTTGCATGCCCTGTGTGGACTTCCATTTGAAAGGTGCTTCGAAACACCATCTATCCCAGCACGTTATGACCATAGCATTGGCTGTGGTTCGTTATTGAACTACTTCCAGGTACAATGGAAAATTTGTAAGCTGATTC